TCTCACGGTGTTGTCGCTTGCAGATTTACTTATTTTTCTTCAACCCTGAAGATGGGGGCGATACGTTCCTCCGAAACGTCGGTTAACACCACATATACACGGCGCCAAATCCCAGAAGACTGCTTTCTTCATAGTCACCGCCGTGAAAGCCTCAAATCTTACAACATATCATAAATTTCTCTTATACTGAATTCTCAAACTCCAATAGTGAAAAATTATTGAAAATAAATAATGTTACATTTCTAAATTTACTAATACTCAATAGTGAGCAATTTCCTCTAAAAATTTTTAAAAATGAAAGTACATTTAGTTCTATTTGCCCGATTTTTAATTTTTGACTATGAAAATTAACATTGCAAAGTATGTAAGGTTGATCATGTACTTGAGCACCATGACTTGAAAACAAATCATTCTTAACTTCAGCACTAGATGGTGGTAAAGAGTTTAGCTTCAGGCACCAGCTGCTTTAATTCCAGGGAAATAGACCCCTGAGCCTTTTGATAAGAATGTTGGGTGGAATCCAGAACTGGTCTGGATGCTGCCCATATTGAGAATCAAACCACAATTCCTCAGTCATATAGCCCATAGTCTAGCTGTTATGTCAACTGAACTCTAGCAGCTGACACTGTAAAGTTGTCATATTATCATGGTAGATCATTGTGTAGTTTTTATGTGACTTTGACATGTGATGTATTCGTTGTTAATTTTGACATGTCCAATCGTATTCACTTCAGTTATGGATGAAACAAAGTTGAAAGTTGAAAGTCTTTAAATATTTTGAAAATTTTATGTGGGGGTCTAATCAAACTTTTAACGGATTTTATGCAGTTACGTTTGCTTTTAGACATAATGTACATTTAATTAAATAATTAAAACTTAATTTAGGACTTTAGTTAATATAGCAGTCTGGATTTGTTGACAGACAAAGCAGAATCACCCACACAAATAAATTCACTTGTATCTCCTCATGGGACGGTTAAGCATTAAATTCTTCTAGAATTCAATGATTGATATCATTCATTCAGTTGGATGACCTCATTATCTCAATGGGGTCATTCATGCATAAACCATGTATAATGTTTATTTCTAGTTTCATGCTCAAAAATTCTATTAAGGCATAAATGCATTCCATTTACTAAATTTGAAGCCTTTCTTTACTAGAGTACCTACATAAACGTTTGTTAACGTGCCATGAACTGTTGGAGATATACATTTTTTAAGAGACTGCAAGATCCATGTGGGAATGAGAGCTGTACTTCAGAGAAAGCTGATTAAGGTAATGCTAATACAATGCCACCACAGTTCAGTACATGTGTGCACGGTTGACACTTGCTCTGTTTGTGCTGGCAGTTACCTATAGGTATTTCAGGAATATGTGGACTTATTTCAGCAGGTTTGAGCTTAGTGGCCAGAGGTGTGGATGGTCCATTCACCAACACCGTTCCAATGTAGTTCAGCAGCTTCTGCGCCCTGTTCAGTGACTGAGGTAAATGGAAGAGCTGAGGGTTTTCATCAATGAAGTATGTGTCCAGTGTGCCACTAAGGAACTTCTGATTCTCCAGTACATTCAATAGGAATGGAATGTTTGTCTGAAACACAGAAAGCAACTCTGATAAAATTATAGACCAAAGAATTACTTTTCACTATTGCACAAGTAAGTGATCTGATATCAGTTAGTTCTGTATCTCATGCTGTATGAACTAGACTAACTGCATATATACTGCACCATAGCTCAAGCGGTTAGACAGTGACTTCCCACCGAGGCGACCCGGGTTTGATCCCAGATCTGGTCAAGTGGGATTTGTGGTAGACAAAGTTGCGCTGGGGTNATATATATATATATATATATAGATACACACACTCGTACCACATATACAGCATTACTCACCAACTAAACTGTCAAAATGGGTATCATATGTGTTTCATTTGTACACAATTTTTGTGCAGAGTATACAAAATGAACAAAAAATTAGCTGGTGATAGTGAACCTGTACATTTCATTCATGAAATTACATGAAATTTTGATAAAATCATAAATAAATAAAATTTGTCATTTTTATCTTCTTATGGACTGTAATAATTCAGTTGGTATAGTGCTGGGCTATGGGCCAGATAGCCAAGGAATTGAGTTTTGATTCCCAGCAGGGGCAAGAGATTTTTCTCTTCTCCACAGCATCCAGACCACCATTTCCCCATACATCTTCATGCTGCAGTGCTCTTCTAATTTATCACAGAAACAACTTACCCAGTTGGCTTGCTACTGTTATCACACAACACAATCCTTCTGAATTTCTAAATGTCTTATAAAATTCTTCGTTGATAATTTATAATATATTACAGGATTGTATCAAATTGTGCAATTAATTCTAACTAACTAGTCAATGTTCATTTACTACAAACACTTTGGTCTAAATAACCTCAGATGCTGAAAGAGCACCCCTCAAAACAAAAATTTGTGGGGATTATTTCTCAGTCAAATTTGAGAACCGTCTTCAGATCTCAAGAGACTGATTAAATTAATTCTAAAAATCTTATATCAAGTTCTAGCATCAATTATGCTGTCCTTGTATATCTGACTTTTCCACAATTTCAGACTGCTACCCACAGGTAGTATGGGTGAAAGAAAATAAAAATATTTTATTTCTGATCAATTTACATCAAAAAAATGAATTCAAATACAATTTGACGTTTCCCATACTAGAAATGAGAAACACTGTTCTGCAACTGGCCTCTCTTCCCTTTATACTCTGGAGTGTGGCACCATCAGTGAAAAGAAACTTATCTTGCCATTTCTTGACAGCTTGAATTACCCATATACAGTATATCACAAAGTAGCTGAAATATAAATCACTATGAAAATACTGTCACCTGAGTAACAGAGGTGGAAACGTTCTGCATGCACCCCCCTTGTGGGTGATTTTGAAACTAAGGTGATCAAAGCTGGCAGGGATCCTTCATAAAGATTTGAGAATGGGTTTGCCTGGATAAAGCGTGTGGAGTTTGCTAGCTGAGTCACTCTGGGCCAGAAATGGTGCGTACAGACACAGGTTAGTGAATGCAAAGAGGGAACTGTGTTGTGGCATTCATTGAAACAGTAGTGAATGAGAACAAACTGAAATTAACTGTTCCAAAACAAGTAGAACATTTCTTTCTGATGAAAATCTTAATTACTGTCAGTGCTAAAAATGATAACATAAGTCTAATAATATAATTGCTGTTTCGGTACATATGTCTTTGGAAGTTGAAACAGAAAGATCTAAATATAGTTAATTCTGTCTGTATTACATCTCACCTTAACGCCTCGCACTCGAAACTCCCTAAGGGCACGGTTCATCTTGGCAGCTGAGGCTTGCAGGTCTCCAGCGTGAGCAATTACCTTGACTAGGAGGGAGTCATAGTATGGGGATATAATAGCACCAGCAAATGCTGAAGCACCATCAAGACGAATACCCATCCCTTCTCCACTGCGGAACACCTGCAGGTCAAATTACAGATGAGTCTCCTACACCATACAGGACCTTTCCAAATGCCAAAAGTAAAGCTTGTGTCATGAGTGTGCACAATCCCTACTGAAAATTCTAAATTTCTGTAACTTGGAATGACCACCATTCTTTTGCTACACTTCATACTTATTCTTTACTATCTACTAGGTCTGAAAACTAAACAAACTGGACTGATGTCACTGCACTCTTTTTGTATAATGGGCCATTTTTGAGAACAATAACGTAACTTGAATGTTGTGTAAGGTATGGTATATCAACATGTTGACATGTTTTATATTCTGTGCCTGTGCACATTTGTGAATAATCTGAAACGCAAATGTATATGTATGTATCATGCTAAATGTCTCCAATGTTGCCATAGCATGTCACATCTCAAGGTTGTGGATGGAGGAGACAGTGCAAAATATGTTCAATAAACAGCCACAGACAGTGGGTGGTCCTCTAGCTTAAGGGTTATTTGGGGTCAAATAAATGTTTTACTTATTAAGGTGAGTTTTAAGCCTCGTTTTAAAGTGTTACAATTTTTGTAAAGGGAAAAATTTCTTAAAAAAACTAATATATTGTCACAAAACTTCAGATAATGTGGCCACCTTCTTAGTTTATACACACATTCCAATAGCTCTTCCATTTCTGGAAGCACTGCTCAGATCACTGTCCAGATGTCTTTTCAATAGTATAAGTATTCATATTCCTGCAGATATTTTGGAATGACTGAAATATTTTCAAGAATATATTTAGTTTTGAGAAAATAAGACCATATTATGTGAATACTGAGTATGGTGGATGTCTGTGCTGTTTGGATTTTGACAAAAATGTTTACCGAACATGCAATGTGGAAAAAAGCACTTTGTGACATAAAATAGATTTGTTCTGCCAAAAATTTATTACTTTTCAAAGACTGAGTTACCTTAAACATTTAAAAACTTGGAGATAAAATGTGTGATTGATTTGGCAGAAGAAGCTTCTAATGCACAATTCGCTTGATTTAAGAAAATCAGATTGGCTTGGTTTTAATTTAACCTCTGATTTTGACATTTGTACTTTTCTCAGTTTCAGACTCCAGACTTATCCACTGGAGATTTTGTCACTTTATTTCTGCATGACTTTCATCCAAGTTACAATTCTGTTTTTTCAATAATCTAGCTCTAAAGTCTGTGCATATTCTTCAGTTATGTTTCTGACAAGATACTGCAACAATGCAACACATACAGCAGACGCAATACAGACTTCTTCATTACAATCATCAGACAATTTATGGTTTCCACCAGGTGTTTGATGTTGATGTTGATTCTGTTTTTGGCTGATGGAACCATGTAGAAGACAGCTGTATTCATATTTTGGAGTTCCATTTGACTGATGGTGATGCCCAAGAATGCACATCCACTATCAGAGTCAGCAAGGGTCAAGGAGCTATCACCTTAAAGATACTAGTCCAAGCTAAAGGCTTCTGTATTACATACATCTCAGTGCAATTAATTTTGTTATTAGGTGAGCTAAATACAAATTTCACTGTAAATGAAAACATTTGCTTGGTTCAAGGATAACTTGAGGGTGTTTGGAAACAAAGTGTTCAGGAGAATATCTGGACCTAAGGGAGAAGTAGTAACAGAAAGATGGCGAAAGATGCATACTTAAAAGCTCTGTGATCTGTATGAAATATTTTGGCAATAAGTTCAAGAAGGACAGGATTTGAGAAACGCGTAACACATGTGAGAAATGTGTACACAGTGTTTGTAAGAAAACCTGAAGGGAAGAAGCCATGGTAGATGAGTTGTTTCATATTGAAATGGATCTTACTGAAAGGAAGTGTTTGTGAATATGGTAATAAACCATCTGGTTCTGTAACGAGCAGGGAGTTTTTTGACAGTTGAACTGTTCTCAACTTCTCAGGAAGTTAACAAAATAAATAAAACGTGATTATGAAACTTCATACAGGTTGTGATTAAAATAAAATAGATCTCATGTTGAGAAAGGCTGAAAATGCCCGAAAGTCAAGTGAACAACTGTCTTACTGGTAGTATGCTTGTAACTTTGTAGATTTATTTTGTTAATTTGTATTACCGAATGACTTGTCCAAGTGTTACTGTGTAGCAGAACGGATGAAATAAAATACAATACAATACCTCTATTCTTCCAGTATCAGGTTGGAAGTTCTTGGCTGGATCCTCAGTGGTAACTCGACACTGTATTGCATAACCTTGGGGGGTTATCTTTTCTTGTGTCAACCCCATTTCAGGAAGTGTCATGCCTTCTGCCACTCTGATTTGTGTCTGTACTAAATCAATTCTGGACACAAAAATATTAAAAATGTAATGCTGATTACTGTGTGCACCTCAGACTGTCTGTGTTTTGAAGCTTCTTTCTTACAAGGAGTCTCTTGCAGTTTCCTTGGTTATTAAATTCATATTTAATTAAACATTTATACTCATATCTAAAAGTCAAGGCATTTACAGTGGTAATTGTAGTTAAAACTTCAATACAAACATTTAACTTTTCTGGCATATTTTAAATCGTTTAAGAATCTGTACAGATGTGTAGACAAATCCACAGATTTTTAATTGACTAGTGAACACAACATGGGAGCCGTGCTTCACAGCTTGTGCTTTCTCTCCTGGAGATAGCAGAGCCAAGTTAAAGCACTGTTCACTAAACCCAGTACAAAATAAAATAAAGTGAAATATGTCAAGTTGTAGAGGGATGTGATTAATACAGTGTGTTCAGTCAAGGAGGAAACTTTGCAATACCGCTGACCCAGTCCAAAATTCCTCACAGATTGCTGCTGTAACTGCTGATAGCAGAGTGAGTCATTGATAAGTGCATCCAGTTACAGTTACAGCAGCAATCTGTGAGGAATATTGGGCCCAGTCAATGGTCTTGCGAAGTTTCTTCCTTGAGTGAACGCCCTGTAGTATATAAAATTATAAAATGAAATAAAGATGGAAGTTGAAGTAAAACACGGACAAGCACCACACAGGAAGGGAAAGAGAGATATTTAACTGAAATAGTGGAAGAAATGTCAACCATTTGTTCCAAATATAACTACCAATTTTTCAGTAATTAAATATGTGGAATTGTATCTTCTGAAATAGAACTTATCTGCAATTTCTAGAAGTATACCGTTGCTTCTAAGGATAGAACTCTTTCAGTCTACATCTTCATATTTCTGGATATATGAAAACAGATGTCATTTCTACCCAAAAAGTATACATCGCATAAGACAAAAGAGATAGTTTAACAAATGTTTGCAAAACACTTTAATTACATTCAAATCATGCGCAGTCTTCTGATTGCCATGCTTTGTGGCTCATATATTCAAAAACTTTTGTTCAGTTAATTGAAAAATTCAGAGAAAAATTAGCAATTACTAGTTCATTCATATAAATAGTTCCTTAAACATAGAACAGCAGAGAATGTAACACTTCATTTGAATTATGAAGCACAAATAAAACTATAGACATCACCATATTTCTGTGGAACCTTGAGCCACATATTGAAGGAAATTTAAAATTTCACAGCACAAAATATAAAGGTCATATTTGTCTCGAAGACTGAGGAAATTAATATATGACTTCAGCTAGAAATAACCAATACCCTGGCCAAGACTTGAAGAGAGCACCCCTGAATATGAATATGGAACACTATAGCTATGTCACCCTATTTAGCAATGGTGTCTTGCATTTCATATGAAAAGAACGGGAATTTTCTTAAATTTTCACCGGAAGAGAATCAAGATTTGGCATATGAGGGTACAATGTGTGCAAACTGTTGCATTATAGTGCCAAAGGAATAGACAGAAATATGACTTGAAATTAAGTTTTTATGTGCAAACTAATTATGTCTTGCTAATCCTTTCTTGTCCCTTCCCAGTCTCCACAGCTTTGTTCTTTGTATAGGATGTCTCCCTGAAACTATGGAATAAAGTATATTACCTATAGGCAAGTATAATGCTTTGCTATTTCAGTCAGACTTACCCAGTTATTTCTTCAGTAACTGTATGTTCTACCTGAAGCCTAGCATTCACTTCAATAAAGTAAAAGTTCCCAGATTCATCTGACAGGAATTCCACGGTGCCAGCATTCTCGTAGCCAACATGCTTGGCTAGATTCACAGCCTGCTCTGTTATTCTATCACGAACCTAGTGAAACAACACAGAATTCTGTAACTCATTTAATAAGAATAAGCAAATGAACATGAATACACATCTGCACTTGTGTTGTAAATTCTGTTATGGCCACATTAGTATCACTAGCCTTAAAGATTATACAAAAACAAAATTGGCAAATTATGCTTTGGGGATGGTTTTGTAAAGGGATGATTCATGTTAACATGATGTTTGACTGTTGTACAGATGTATGCAATGCATCGCAATTAATGTCACGTAAACTAAGTGCAATGAAGGGGAGGGGGGTGTCTTTGACACATTGAAACTACTCCCCTTCTCCCTAGCCTTTTCCACAGATGTCTTGTTTGCTCATGATGGCACAACACCATTTTATAAATACTGCATGCATGAAACTGTAGTGACAGCCTCAAGTTAAGACATTCTTAATTGTGTGAATGGCTAGAAGGGATGTGTGTTGAAGCACATGTGGTATAGTGGATGCAGTGAATAGCAAGTTAGTTCAGTGTGAGATAGAAGATGGCAGTGTAGTGGCATACTCTTAACACAGTAGTGGACAACAAATAAGCGATATTAAGGTCACTGGTAGGTACTGACAGAGACAATAACTGTTCCAGTAACGATAAATTTTATGACTACTGTCAGAAGTGGATAAAAGATGGATCAATTAAACAAGTTTAGTGTTCATCAAGACAGCCTGACAGCCTACCAAGAAGAACTGAAAAAGGGCATGAGTACCGACCAATAAAAACTATCACCCTGCCAAGAAAAACTGAAAAGCAACAGAAAACATGAAATAAAAAAAAAAAGGATACAACCACTGGCCAAGAATTCAAAAAGGGCATATGTGTCTGCCAATCAAATCTAAACAGAGAAATGAAGGACAAAAGGCTGGCTAGAGCAAATTCTACAAAGTGAAGACAAGGTAGCAGACAGCTGGCGATGACACTCATGTAGGAGAGAGACTATGTGATGTCGGGGTGAATTAATGCAACACAGAGGCGACTTGATGTGACCAGGAATTCAGCCTCCGAAGTTTGATACATTCTGGATGGCATTTCACCGCCAGCTTCAGGTCATGGCTGATCATAACGGGTTGGGCGGCCCATGAGAAGGCTATGCAGCCACTCACCATTCTGCAGGACAAGCTGCTGACATCCTATACAGTGTGCTGACTACAGCAGTGTATGAGAACACAGTCAGCGCACTAAATGGTAGTTTTCTCCTCTTCAAAGGAAGAGCAGTTTTCAAATAAATTCCAAAAAGAGAAAAAAAAAACACACACAAACATTTTATCACAAAAATATACAAACTGTGTGACTACATTGGCTTCATAGATGGCATAAAAGTGTATTTCAGGAAGGACAAACATAAGGCACAAGACTTGACAACCACACATACTACAGTAACATGACTTATTAGGAAAGGAGAACGATGAGGTCACAAATTATGGACAATTTCTTCTTCTCTCTTGTCTCATCTCATGATCTGACAAAGAAAAAAATAAACTGCTGTGGGACTACAAGGCTGAGGTTTCACACAAGTTCAGCTTGTAGGGTAATGATAAATGTCTAGTATGAAGCGTCAGAAATGAAGCTGTTTTAATTGTGGGCAGAAACTGATTCTTGAATTATCACACCAAGATGCAACTGTAAAAACTGCTGCAAGTACAACCTGCCTAAGCAAACCAGAACCCTCTAATCAAAATGAAAGTAAAAGAAACTCAAAATTTAGAAACTTCTATAACTGTAGTATACATTCATGCAATTAAAATATTAACGACATTTTAAGAAGAAAATTACACTGTCTCTGAGTAAAGTGGCGTTTATTTCGTAATTTTGTCACTCTTGAGTTACAAAATATTAAGCTTTTCATAGAACACACACTAAAATTTAAATGATGAAAAAAACTTCTCTGCAAGGCTGTGCCCACTATGGCATTTAAACATCTGTCATTTAAAGGTTGAACCATTATGTTGAAAAATGTTTTAAGAAACTCGTTCACTCTCCTTTGTATATATGGGTGTTGTTCTGTTACTAATTGCATTGAATGAATACTCTCCTTAGGTTGATGAAGGAGCAATAATTACTTACTGATGGTATGTTAGTTTAGTAACTAGAAGTTTAAACTAGTTTAAAATAGACTAGTTATTTCAGTTCCTCAAGTTTTGAATTCGGTAGTTCAATGGTCTTCTCAAGAATGGCATGGTACAAGAAGTCTGTAATAAAATCTGCACATGTAATGAAATACTGAACATGATTTCCATGATAGTTTGTTTCCTGTTCTGGTCTGCATGAAGCAAACATGAGCTCAGGGCTGGAATGTGACTTTTTCAAGTGTTCGCCAAATTTTGAGGCAGAGGGAGACAGTGAATATTTCAGCTACTCAGTATATATACTTTACAAGACAACACGAAAATCTGGGCTAAAAACAATAGGGTTAGGATGTAAAGGAGGAAGCAAATGTGAACTAAGATTAAATGGTTACTAACTACTGAGTTTAACTTTTATCATTACACCTTCTATTTCAGTTCTAGCAGATGATTCTATCAGTGAAAATATCAAAAAGTCACAAAAGTTTGGACTGTTTTCTAATTCTTGAAGAATTTTCATCCAAAATATCTATAATCAAAACTAGCGAGTCAGTCTTGGTCTGTGTGCTACATGGGTAAATGTGGACTCTGTTCCCAGCAGAGAATGCCCACTTCACAAACACGCTGCCTGTTGTTGCATTGGTTAATAGCAATGCTCTGTGAGCATACAGTTAACTGAAATATGTTAACATTCCTCATCTGGCTAATTTGATACAATGGAGTGTCATGCACTCCCTCCTCCCTTCAAGTCTACACTATAGAGAGTCTCCCCTAATTGCGCCTGTGCTCACAAAAGAATAGCGTTAAGCCTGAAGAAAGTTGCTAACAATACCTGTGAAACACTGGCTGGAAGTGGCAGATGAAGCACTTGAAGCAACGCTGATCCACAGGGTGACAATTTTTATTTTTCAAACTATAAGCCAGGCAGACACATTTAATATGCACTCTCTACCACTTCATAAGCCTTTGTTTCTAGAACACAGTCTTACCTTAGGATCTAACTTGGGTGCTGGAGCAATTTCCACAACTTTCTGATGTCTCCTCTGAACTGAACAATCTCGCTCATAAAAGTGGACAACGTTTCCGGCTTTGTCTCCCATAAGCTGAACCTCAATATGACGAGGTCGTTCTATGAACTTCTCAATGAACATGGCTCCATTTCCAAAAGCTGCTTTTGCCTCTGAACTTGCACGTTGAAACAGTTCTTCTACTTCCTACATAGAAATATGAGAAAAGAATGAAGTATATGCAGAAAGAACTATATTAAAGTCACTTCATAGAATAACATATTTACTGAATGTGGTTCTTGCATTTTATACCCTTGCTTGGGCTTTCTTTCTCTGGATGTAAACTGGGAGAGCTCAGTAAAGTGACTGACTACAGACAAGGTGACCAGGGTGCAATTGCTAGCAAGGCTGAGATTTCTCTTCAACACTATATTCACATGGGCCTTATGATCCACCCAGCCTTCTATCCAATGAGTACTTAGGGCTCTTCCTCTTGAAACAAAACTGCTAGGCTCTGAAGATGACCATTCACCCCCACGTAATACAGAGTATTAGAATGCATGGTGCTCACTACTGTTCTAATTACATGTGTGTTGTATTTTGTTAAATATGTATTATATCTAGAATATTATATTTAAGCATCCTGTTGCACTCTGTACGATAAATGACACGTAGTAAAGAATAGCAGCGGCACGCACACTGGGAGACTACACAAAATAACACCTGTACAGTGCTGGAAACAAGAACTAGCCGCTGCAGCACTAGAGACATAGGGCGAGTAACCCTGACAATTTTAAATTTTTAAATTTAGAGAAAAATTTTAAAGGATTTTAAAATTAGAACTAAAGATTTTATGAGTGCCAATGTGTGTAACAAAACTAATCTATAAACCAGACAGATATCAACAAAGTAGATGTTGATAATAACAACGAAAGGAACAGTGTGTTTATAAATGTTAAATTTTAAACTAAGTGCAGTGTGACAGCAACGTGAGTGTATACACCTGATGATGGCTGTTTGAGGCCGAAACATGTAGTGTAAAGGAGAGCAAGATCAAGGACATATAATATAGTGTTTGCACTTGGGATGGAGTTCATATCATTTATTATATCTAGAGTTTGAAAATATGTAGATATTATTGAGATTTATATTTTATGTATCAATCTCCTTTAATAACAAATTATTTTGGAGAAAATTTATTTATCTTGACTTGAACTTCACACAGAGTAAAGGTTGTATAAGACCAATATGAACCAAAATTAAAAACATACAGTAATGCTTGATACAGACCCACAGTACCAGACTTCACCAAAATGCACTCAGTAGTTTCTTAAAGCTTAACTTTCAGGAAAATGGACATGACATGACCTATCCCACCCTCAACACACACATATATTCATTTCTTGGACTTTGTGCAGAGAACCCATACATCTTGAGAGTTTCAGTCCCTTTAATTTTATCATATGGAGGATTTACTCCATTAGGTCATCATTTTACACTCACCTCCATTTTCCTCACTACTCTCATACCACGTCCACCCCCTCCATATGCAGCTTTGAATATAACAGGCAGGCCATGCTTGAGACAGAACTCCATGGCTTCTTCTGAGGTATTTACAGGACCAGGAGTACCAGGAACTACAGCAACACCTGAAACAGACATACAATAGCACTAATTCAAAATTACGCAGATGAAAAGGAAAATTCCATTTATTTGTTCTTAAGCTAGCAGTAAAATTGTATTTTACTTTCTTTTAGAAACTATTAACATAACTTTTATGGTGTCTACTATATGCAGACAATTTCACAATATGTGAAATGTTAATTAGTGAACTGTTATGTGTAAAATACAGTTTTCCTAGTGACTTTATATTAACTATATATTTTTGTGGCTATTTCTTTGCTGTATTCATTCNACTATAGATTTTTTCATGGCACTATCCTTATGGTGGTGGTATTGTATTCTTATAACCATCTGTGAGGTGTGATTTTTGTTACCTCTGTGAAGCTTGTTTTGTGGTCAGTATTATGATTTGTATTATTACACATATATGATATGTTGTATGTTCTAGTGGCGTGAAATAATTGAACATATAACATCAAAAAGAAAACACTGCATATCGTATGTAACAACAGAAGTCATAATATTGGTCACAAAAATAGTTATAACAAGATGCCAAGGAAAAATAGTATGTTCATATTTCAGCATTATACTCATACAGGTATAGGCATTTACATATTGTCACATGTTAGTGAATAGACACAGGGTTTCGACTGATATTTAGATTTATTACACATAACTACAGGTAATTAAATATAACTGTATCACGGATCTATACACTCTACAAATCACAGTACTGCAGCATACACAAAATATTCTGTTGTCATCAATTTTTGCCTGGTAATGGCACTGAACAATGTGGATTCCTGAGCTTCCATACTCATGTCCTTACTGGATGGTGACTGTCTCGCAACTCATCTGCAACTGACCTTGACAGCTCTTGCTATAGAGCCTCAGGATGGACCATATGGAAAACGCTGCTCCCAACAGATCTATTGTTTTCACAGGTCTTGCCTAATGATGGAGGGCATGTTTATCAAGCCATTCCCAGGCAATGGACAATGTTTAAGTATTCAAGTCACAATATATTTATTGTTATGATTAAAAATGATAAAACCAAAAAGTAAGATAATGAATAGTATACACTAACAAGCTCTGTACCTGCACCAATGGCTGCCTCCCGTGCAGCAACTTTATCTCCCATCTGCTCAACAACTTTTGGACTTGGACCAATAAATCGTAAACCAGCATCAATGCAAGCCTGAGCAAAATCTGAACGTTCTGATAGGAAGCCATAGCCAGGGTGAACAGCATCAACATTGTTCTCCTGTCAAAAACAAAGTTGCAGAAAGCAGATATAAATATGAATATGAATAAGGTTATGTCCATCCAGAAATACCGTGGAATGAGAAGAAAGCTGACAATGTGTGGACAGCTTTGTCACAATACGAGACCTAAAGAATTAAAATACACAAACTAGAAGGAAACTATGTGGATATATAATTCATAAAGTTTTGTGTAATGTTGATTAAAAAATTCATTACAGATTTCATCCAAGAATTCATCTAGACAGTTGCATTAAAGCTAGAGTACAGTGTTTGTTATTATAGGTATTCTGCTTGCAATTACTTGTAAGGAGATCCATATATTAATTAATTAAATAATATTACTAATTTTAGCCCCTGTTTCCGGCTTTTATCCTTTCTTTAACACAATTATCATTCATATTGCCATTTTTAATCATATTTCCTAAATATTTAAAACTACTCACTCCTGTAAATAATTTCCCTTCTACCTTTAAATCTTGTGGTTCTTTTACCCTTGTACTGGTACCAAATTATTTGTTAATTAACTGAAAATTAAATGTGTTAAGTAAATATTAAAATATGAATTCAGGCATGCAGAAGCCAGAAATTTAAAAAAAATGTAACTGTATCCATTGAAATATAAGACTTTGTGAATGTTTTAGTCAGCCAGGACATTCCAGTCAACAGCAATTCACCATGGATATGTCAGGAAATATTTATGCATTGCAGAGTTCTTAATGGTTTCCATGGAAATGACATGAAAACTAACAGACAAATGCTGACTAGCTCAGAATAATTATGTAATGATATTTCTTGTGTCACTTGTTTCCATAAACCTTGAAAATCTAATAATCCAGCTGCATATTTCTAGACATAGAAAAGGTTTGAAACGTCTGGGATAAAAACTGGAGTAGCTAGAATTCAGATTCCTTTATCTCAGCCACCAGCTCTGGTCTGATACTGAACTTCATCTGACTCCCATCTAACTCACACCATTATTCTTTTCCTAACAGTAAAATGGCCAAAAACTACTCACTTTCACTTAGTGCTGAGACCAAGACCTCTTTCACCTCACTGCTTACACACTTTCAAGATGTGGTGCTCAGGCAGAGAGACAACTTACCTTACACAATAAATACATCATAGACTGGTGATTTGCCTGTGTATTAGAATATCTTCTGAATACTTTATCTAATGAGTAATTAATTATTTTTATTTTATGAACACTGTGTATTGGACAATACAAACCTTAGCTATTCGAATGATTTCAGGAATGTTCAGATAGGCCTGCACAGGGGGTAGGCCCTTGCCAACGAGGTATGATTCATCTGCCTTCTGTCGATGCATGTGCATTTTGTCCTGTTCTGAATAGATTGCTACTGAACGTATTCCCAGCTCTGTACATGCTCGAAACACTCTTATAGCAATCTCACCTGCATCACATAAAACAAAATAATTACAAACCATCTGACTTCTGATAGACGTCAAAACTACTCACTATCAGACTGAGACCAAGCAAGTTAGGTCAAACGGTAATGCTTCTGACTTGTATTCTGGAGGGTATGAGTTCGAATCTAGCTTGGGACATGGAGTATTGTGACTGAAAGTTTTCGCATGGTATGTGCAGAGCCTACCATCGACAGTTGATAAGACAGACATTTGAAAGATGCATTGCCGATTCGGAGACCGTGCGATCCGCCTCCATTTATTCAGAGTCACCAAGGCAATCGGCCGCGTGAGCGACCGATTGGTTTTGATCTAATAAAAGCATCCCTTCCGTCTCCGGTTGGGACTCGGTTGCATGTATTAGCTCTAGAATTACCACAGTTATCCAAGTAACTGTCCACCATCTAACGAACCATAACTGATTTAATGAGCCATTCGCGGTTTCACCTTAATGTGGCTTGCACTGAGACATGCATGGCTTAATCTTTGAGACAAGCATATGACTACTGGCCGCGTGAGCGACCGATTGGTTTTGATCTAATAAAAGCATCCCTTCCGTCTCCGGTTGGGACTCGGTTGCATGTATTAGCTCTAGAATTACCACAGTTATCCAAGTAACTGTCCACCATCTAACGAACCATAACTGATTTAATGAGCCATTCGCGGTTTCACCTTAATGTCGCTTGCACTGAGACATGCATGGCTTAATCTTTGAGACAAGCATATGACTACTGGCAAGATCAACCAGGGAACCGCACAACTTGATTTCCTCAGTTCTTTCGGGTAGATACCAGGATAGTAACCTCAGTTAGGTTATGCCTGCTTTGATCAACATTATTTACAAGTTATTATTTTTCTTTATTGCTAGTGGGGTGGGACTAAGTCCCTTGTACTGCAGCCACTTCTGGCCTATTGTACCAGCCCCAGATGATAGGTGAGGGTGATTGTGGAGCAATTGGTGGAATGAAGATTGGCAGGGGAAACTGAAGTACTCGGAGAAAACCTGCCCCAGCGCCAATTTGGCCACCACAAATCCCACTTGACCAGACCTGAGACCGAACCCGGGCCGCGGCGGTAGGAAGCCACTGACTAACCGCTTGAGCTATGGCGCGGCGGCCTCAAGTCATTATTTACCATCGTCCAATTATTGGACACTCTAAAGTGTGAGTTCCTGAGAACTTGTTAAATCAATTACAAATAACGAATAATAGCATTGTGCTTTTAAAGGCTGTGAAGGATTGGACACTTCAGGATTCATGCAACAGTAGTAGTACTAATACACGTACATATAATCTGAGTTCATAAAAATTTCGCTTGTCAAGTTATATTGAGCTAGGATAGGAATGTACAGCTCAGGTGGTTAGTCGCTAGTTTCTCACTGCGAAGGTCTGAGTTCTGTCCCAGGCTAGTATATGTGCAATTTGTAATAGGCAAAATGGCAACAGGCAGGTTTTTTTGAGCACTTCATCTTTCCTCTACCAGTTATCATTTTACCATGCTTCACACTCATCTCTCATTCAGTGATGTACAACAGGCCCATCTGAGGACACAATACCATGGACTGAGTCTCATGCCACACCTCAAATATAAACATAGTAATTCATAAATCTGGATAGCTCAATGACTGGTTACAGACTTTTTTGCTTAGGAAGAAAGCGGCCTGAGCATCAGGCTGACCGCTCACTTCCATCTAGTGCCAAGGTTAACAATGCATGGAACCACACTTCAGCTCCCCGTGTGTCCTCATGGTAGGAAACATAATTATACTGACAACTTTACTTTTTATCTTATCAAGTTACAATGACTGAGCATTTAATCACTGTTACAGTGAAGTGGTTAGAGCTCCTGTACCCCATTTTGAATGTTCTGTGTTCAGTTTTACAAGGGAAGTGCTGGTTAGGTACTTTAAAACAGGAAGGAACTACAGAATGTGCCTAAAAGTAGTACACATTTCATAAGAGAAAATAATTCGTTTTCTATTTGATTTAAAAGCTGTCTTTAGAATTTTCATGATGAAGATGGAGGAAACCCTAATGTGGCCGCGCCATAGCTCAAGCGGTTAGTCGCTGGCTTCCCACCGTGACGGCCTGGGTTCGATCCCGGGTCTGGTCAAGTGGTATTTATGGTGGACAAAGTGGCGCTGGGGCAGGTTTTCTCCGAGTACTTCGGTTTCCCCTGCCAATCTTCATTCCACCAATTGCTCCACAATCACCCTCACCTATCATCTGGGGCTGGTACAATAGGCCAGAAGTGGCCGCAGTACAAGGGACTTAGTCCCACCCCACTAGCAATAAAAAACCTTATGTGCTGGTGAACTGCTGAACTTTTGTTCAAAAGCAAGCTCTCTGCATAAAGTAGATCCCATTGAGAACTTCGTGGTAACGTTGTTCTTTAGAATGCAATCTGCAGCCTTGTCTTATGATTTTGGGAAGACAAAACACTTTGATAAAAAATAACCAGACAAAGCACAGTCTGAAAGAACACAGAAACATTGAGCACGTGCATGACAGTGTCTTCAGAAAACCATGCTCATCCAAGAGACATTCAACAGAAGCTGAAATTGCTGAATTCTGTTTACATGGCATTTTGAGTACAAACCTACAGTGCTAGCCACACACAGTACAGTTTCTTTAAGGAAATTCAACTCATTTTGAAACCCACATACTCTTTCCAAAGATCTGTGAACTTCTTGCTGTGAATGGAGGTCAAATGTTTCAGTCAGTAATGGTTGACAAAATACATTTCCATTTGAATGGCTTCATTAATAAACAGAACTGCCACAAGTTTACTGCAAAATATTCCATCTTTCAAAAGCTTTAAAACACTTTCAGAAGAAGTAATGTTAAGCAAGTGTTTTTGATGATATTGTCTTCAATTTGCAAATGGGAAGGAACTTTAATAAGAGTTCAACATGAATTGAACCCTGTTGAATATGTCACATATTCATAATGTCACTTGGAATGCTGAACCTTCAAATGAAATATAAAATAAAATTTTAAAAAATATAACTATAATAAATCCTCATATCTCTTTTGGCAGATGCTGTATACAGAAATGTCTAACACTCACCTCTGTTTGCGACAAGAACACTTCGAATTGGGCAATATGCTACATCACTGGAATAATTATTTCTTGATATGGACCACTTGAAGAATCTCTGGTGTTGTGAAGGGAAGCCAGTTCCCCGGGATGATCGTGCAATGCAGACACCCAACATGGTGGCAAGGCAATCCAAGCAGAAAAAAGATGGAACTGGTTATAGGTGGGACAGACTGACAGGAATTATTCAGTGTCAGTCTAAAGCACTCTCATGTCACCACATCTGGAACATACATAAATTCAATTTCACCTATGAACGTCTTTTGATAGTTCTTTTTAGGGCAACACACGATAAATTCAATCCTGATAGTATATTTTTTACTGCAAGTGCATTATTATAATACATATGTAACATGTATACATGTGCAGCTTTAAATGGCATACAAGCACTTTTTATAAAATAATTTTTAGCAAAATTAGGGAATAATAAATATTCAAGTACGGATACACTAAAGCGGCCTCCGTAGTCTAGAGGTAACGTTCCCACCTCATGACTCGTAGTACGCGGGTTCAAATACCCGGC